ACTGACTTTATTTAAGGAATTCATTACTTTGCAAACATAGGGATAATATAAAGACGACTTTCATCCATTTTTTTGTAGTTCAATTACGCATGTTTTTTTTATCCACGGCTCTTTTGTAGTTCCCCCAAAAGGAACTTCTATATAGGCGAGGTGCATTCTTGCGCTTCTCTAATTAGTGTTACGTCACGGACAGCCGACTTAGCTTTGTATAAGGCCGTACACGTGTGGGCTCATCAAGCGCATGATCGGCGGTCGCAGACGGCGTCTCTCCGTGCAGCGGCAGCAGGGACGTAATGCGGAAGCACATCGACGCGCACGGCGTGGGTAGCACCGTGGAAGGACAAGTTGTTGTTTCCTCGCGCGGTGTCGCAAGTGCAGTGAAAGTGCGCACTCGAAATCGCTCGCTCGTATAGCCACCTTCGCCGCGACACCGTCAAGGTCTTCTCGCGTGGGTGTTCACCGGCCGTCCGCCACATCGTGTCCTTTCGGAACTACCCACGTGGTCATCTGTCAGCTCACGTGCCGTCTCGCATTGCCACACAGCAGGAGAACTACGCAGTTATGGGAGGATGCTAAAAACGAAAACAACGCAGTGTAGACTATTGCAAAGTCTGCGAGTGTCTCATTTATATATCGGCATGTACGCATGTTACATTAGTGATGCTCCCCTTGAATTAGAAATACCTAGCTGTACATAAACCTTTTAACTTACCGTGGGACAACCACAGTGACTACGTAATTTGGAAAAGTAATCGAAGGAAAATAATGGAGAGTGGGGCTGATTGGTAGATATTAATATTTAAATTGGTAGGTGGGTTTCCCTGATGGTCTTAAATATGCTAACCGAATGTTTGACTAACTACACCGTAATTTTTAACCAGTCTACTTGTAGAAGCGCATCTTTACACTACCCTTGCACGACGGTATTAGAATGTGCATGTGGTGTTTGGCACAATACTGTAGACAAACTGGTTACGTCCTTAGAACTCGTGCGAAACAGTGAAGCTCACTTCATCTTGTTTAACTAGAATCAACAGCAAGCGATTCTGCTGTAAGAATTGACGTTTAACTAACGTCTCTATAGTTTCTCGCCGTCAAATCGGACGTGTGGTTCATGTTCGCAAAGTATACACATCATTCAACACTTTGGAACGAAGTCGTTTCTCAGCCTCAATGCGTATCGCCTCTAACCGACCTTCGCCACAAGGTTTGCCTCGAAGAATATCTTCCTGATGATATCGTATCAATTCATGATAATCATTTATTTAGAGGAGCTTTAGCTAACATTGTATAACCAGGCCCTTCCTTTTTTTTTACTTTGCGTGTAGAGCATAAGAGCAATGTTATACAGGTCTTGATTTTTTTTATTTCGAAAGTCTGCCCCTAGGCATAAATGTCTTAATTTACTACTTACATATTTGTAACCATAGGAGGTTTTTATTACTTGTCTGAGATCGCATTAATAGCCTCAGCACGTACTGTATAAGCAAAAGCCTTTTACTGAACATACGACTCTTGATACTATGATCTGCTTTTCTGTTTTAGGGGCGAAACTCCTTATAGCGGCACCCGTTCGTCCCCTGTAGTATGTAACGAGTATAACATTTTGACCTCCAAGGTGGTGCCGGTGAGAGACTTCTTCTGTGCGTTGTTGAACAATAAAAAACAGTGCTCAATGTACATGTCAATGGCTGCTAATGGAGAATGAGAGAAAGGAGCTTTCGGCTTTTAGTTAACGCGCAGGCTGCGATCACCATTAGCAGCCATTGGCATGTACATTGAGCACTATCAGACAAGAAAGGGTTGCTACGTTATACTCGCTGAATGTAACCTCCTTAGCTTTAGAAAGGTTTAGCGAGCATTGAGCCGCAGTGCCATGAATACAATGAACTTGTATATACCATGAATGAACTCGAGGGGGTTAAAAATGGGAAGTAGATACGAAGCGCAAGCCGTATGAAAGGAAAAGCCGAATTCTCCGCCTCTCATTTCCCATTAGCAGCCATTGGCATGTACATTGAGCACTATCTGACTGAAAAAGTTTGCTACGTCATACTCACTGGGCGTAACCTCCTTGGTTTTCGAAAGGTTTAGCGAGCGTTCGGCCGCAGTGCCATGAATACAGTGAACTAGAATATACCATGAACTCGAGGTGGTTAAAGGTGGGAAGTGGACCCGAAGCACCAGCCGTAAGAAAGTGTGCGTGTGCCACCTCTCGTTTAGTCCTTGGAATGTCCGCTGGATGGCGGTGCTTCTATATGGGGAATATATGATGAAAAGATGCGAGATGGTGGTACTTGCAGTGTTGAATAGATGGACGAACGGACACATAGATAGATGCATGGATGGACGCATGAACAGACGCAGGGGCGGCTGCATGGACGAACGCAGGGACGGACGCACGAACAGACGCACACACGTACGGGCTGATGGAGGCATGGGCGGTGACACTGACGGACGCATGGACGGACGGAAGCAAGAACGAATGGACGGACGAATTCTTCGCCCCACACTCCATCATTCACTCCGTGGATATGCTGCCATTTTTTTTCTATTATTTCCTGTAATCACTGCCTTATAATTTTGGCCACGAGGGCTTAATAAAAATATAAATAAACGAATAAATTGATAAATAAATAAATATTATTTACGTATAGCTTTATCGCCGCATTGTTAGGATAAAACCTTACTGCTTTGAATATTTAACTAAACGAACGGTTCTACGGTAGACGCATATGCATGAAAAAGGTCGATTTGGTGCATTCAATGCCTCATGATCTTATTAGTTCATGTCACACGTCACGATAAACAATTACTGAAAAAACATGCATTTAAAAACCTCAGCAAGCGGCGTCAGTGTGTCCTACGCCGAAATTAGGGGATCCTTAAAGCTTCCCCTTTAGGAGTTGAAACGTGATAGCAATAGTTTGTCCCTAGTGCTTACTTGAACCACTTCGTGCACACGTTTTATTGTATGAAGTTACACGACAAGCTAAACTGTGGATTACTACCATGGAACCAATAACGTTCAAAGCTGCTCGTGTTAGTGAAGCTTTCAGATATAGTTGCTTTTTGTGTAACGGGTAGCATGCTTTGAACCATGAGCAATTATTCGCGTAGAATGTTCCCTATCCCGCTATGCACCCACTGCGTGACCTTAAAGGAATACGCGCCGTAACATGCGTACCGTTTGTAATGGATGGTCGGCTTCTAACCACGAAGTCGTTATAACCATGCGTTCTCACTCTACATAAGAATGTACGCTTGTGCCACAATATTACTACAATATTACATGCTGTACTGTGACGCCTGTATTCAAGCCCTGTGTGTTTGTAAAGCAAGAGTTATTTTAACTGCATTCCTAAGCAGACGCGTGGCTGTGTTGTGTACAACTGCATGCCACGCAAATAGCTCGAGTTCCATCCTCGCTGGTATTCGGATTTTTCAATATTAAAGACGAGAGTCTTTCTTGGGGACCATCGACGGAAAAATTTTGGTCTGTCTGTCCGTAGATTTGTCATTTTTTTCTGCCCTTAACGATGCCCCGAACGACACCAAACGATACCCCAAACGGCCGACCCCATCCGCAGCGCCCACCAATATTGCTTAACGTTCAGCATCCACACTTGTGGGATTGCCAATTAAAAAAAAGAATTATTGCGCATATCTGAGGCACCATAACAATACGTCAATGAACTGTATGTGTGTCTTTTTACTAGAAAAGGCATACATAAGTAATTCTAAGGACCGCAGCGCTTATCACGCTGCGCTGAGAATGCAACGCTTGCACGAAAAGGCAAGTGTTTCCACCGATTCGCTAATACGACATGGTGTTGACACCTACCCGTCGCCTTGCATTCTACACCTTCTCATTTCCGACACGGGTGCGCCCGCCGCGCGCTTCGTTTTCTAATATAACTGCCAGATAGCACTCATGTCTCACGCGCTACGTGACTTGATGCGCTCGTTCGCCTCCGCTGCACGCTCGAGGCAATATAACGCGGTGCCACTAGAATACCACTGACCGGTTTTCTTGCGCAAAACGTCAGATAAACATTTTGTTCACCCTCTGTAGACGCAAGACTGTCGTCTTTCGTCAACATTTGCAGTGTAACATGCAGATACGGGGCCTAATTTTTGTTTTATTCTCATCTTTCTCAATTTTTTGGTCATGAAGAAGATGAATTTTCGCTTACAACCGCTGACGCCGATGCTGAAATTCTTGCGGAAGGAGCTCTATGACGCAATCGCATTAAAATCTTCTATATTGGATGAGTTGGCAAGTCAACTTTCTGTGACTTAAACGCGCAGCGAAACGCAGACGAACAAATAAGTGTGCCATATCAGCGCTGACTGAACCCTGAAAGCTTATTGCGTTGACGCGTCATCATAATACACGGTTAGTTCACGTGATGCATACCAGATGTGCAGGCGCATCGGAGAATCGGGTCATTAAAAATTGCTTCTTTTTGCGCAAGCTGCAAAGTAACTCATTGAACATATACTATCGCTTACTCGGCCATCACATGTCAAAACATGGGCATGATTAACCGACTAAGAGGACAACTAATAATGCGCTTCAAAAAGGTCGCATTCAGCGTTTGCGTAACAAGTTCTAAATTTACAATCTTACATGCAAGAAAGTTGTAACAAATGCCGAAGTTGATAACCACACGAACACAGACTCAAATGCAGTTTATTAAATGCGCGCTCTGCTACATTCCCAAAAAGACGAAGATAAATTCGCGTTTTAATAGATCATAGAATGTCTGAGTGCGTAAATAAATATAGATAACAATGCCGCCTCAAATTGTCACCGGACTTGTAGTAGTGAACACTAAAGCATATAGCGAATTCTGAATAAGAACACGTTCGTATGTTTCCGAACTGCGGCCCTAAGAACCCTCTCGGCTAACAGGAAACTATCTGCTATCAACTTCACAGGAACTTTGCGCACTTGGAACATTTCACCTGCGTTAGCAATAATATTATAACCTAACCGTCGCATCACGTCCCAGCAGGACCGCTGAATGTCCGCGATTTCCTCGAACTTGAGTTTATTTACCCACTGAAATGGGACGATGGACGAATTCTTTTTCGTCGAATGCGGATAAGAGGCGTCGGCATCTCCCACCTTGGTGTGCTCAGTCAGGAACAAGGTCACTTGCATTGTGTGGTTTAGTCCAAGAGGCTCGAATAGTTCCCGCGCTCGTTTCTTGGGGTCCAGAGACACGTCCTCGAATCGGACCTTGTACGTGCTCTTTGGATACGAAGCTGTCGAGCTCGTCGGTTGTGTTGAGGTCGTTGCGAAGTTCAGAGCAGAGTGTGGCCGGGTGGACGCACCTCTTCGAGCCATTGCACCAGCCCAACAGCCTTCTCGAAGCCAGAATACCTCGCGGGTCTCGTACCAGATGGAGGATCTTCACGGACGTGGCTAGGTCCGGGTTGCTGCGCAACCAGTCTCGAACCTGAGACATGTGGAGACACGTGATTTTCATCCCTTGCACGGGTGCCCGCGCGCACACTTTGGACACGAAGTCCGGCCAGAAGCATACCCCACTTGTGCCCTGGCACAAGGTCCAGAGGAAGCGGTTCCGCTTGAAGAGGTCCTTCTTCTCGAACACCATGTGAACATATTGCTCCTCGCTTTGCAATTTGTAGCGTAGCAGGTGCCCGATCAAGCTGATTGCCTTGCACGCCGTCATTTCGTTAAGCCTGGTAGCAACGCCGTAGATGCGCAAAGGCTCGTAGTGGTAAAACGTGGGCGGCGACGAAGACAGCAAGTCTGCGACGAAGTTGGAACCCGCCTGAAAATAAGTGACAATAATGACCCTCCGGACTTTGTCTGACGTCACTACCGGGTAGCGAGATAGGTTTGCCTTGAAGATCCCAATCATTTCAGATCTTCGGAGCTGCTGGAGGCACTTCTTGAGGGCCTCCTTTACGGAGGCATTAGGGTGAATTGCAGAATGCCGAGAAGTGGTGGCTGATCGCTTCGTTGACAAGGGCTCGGAGGTTTGAACTCCTGGCATGAAGCCACCGGCCCGCGTTGCTATCTAGTGAGCCTATTTTGTCGTCAAAAGAGTTCCCATCCACGCTGGGAGGAAGCCGAGGTGACTTGTTGCTTTGGTTTTTCTCACCCTGCCGTCTGAAGGTAGGGTTCCTGAATTATATTGCATAATGAAAATATCTTTCGGTTCACAGCATTATCAATAGCGAGTTTTAGCATACAGAGGTTTTCAGGCAGCGTTCTTCCAGTAGCGCGCACACACACACACACACACACACACACACACACACACACACACACACACACACACACACACACACACACACACACACACACACACACACACACACACACACACACACACACACACACACACACACACACACACACACACACCACACACACACACACACACACACACACACACACACACACACACACACACACACACACACACACACACACATATATATATATATATATATATATATATATATATATATTATAGGTATGGGATATGGCACAACGGGAGCGTTGTCAACAAGGATAAGTATATTTATTTCCCAACAGTTTCGGGAGGACCAGGGGATGAGTTATACTGACATGAATTCCAAACTTCGTTGCTGCCGCGTCCCCCTTGCCTTGAAACATGTTTGCGAGAGTGAGAGGGAACTGAAAAAAAGGGGGGGGAGAAAACAAAGAAAAAAAAGAAAAGAAAGAAAGTAAAAAAGAGGAAGAACCACTGTCAACACTGAGAATATATATATGTATATATATATATATATATATATATATATATATATATATATATATATATATATGTTGGAAGCTAACTTTATAGAGAATTCACCTTTAAAATCATGCTTCTACAAACGCTTCATCGATGACATCTTCATCATTTGGCCACATGGCGAGGCAAGTCTTTTAAGTTTCATTAGGAATTTCAACAATGCCCACCTCACCATTACTTTCACCCATAATTACTCATCAACAACCATAAACTTTCTTGACGTTACCGTCACAGTTAGCGAAGGACGGCTCTCCACAAATATCTTTCGCAAACCGACTGATAACTCCTCCATTTCCATAGCAGTCTCGTCCGACATTGCAAAACAGGGATACCATACAGCCAAGCTCATAGGTTCAAAAGAATATGCTCCAAACACGAAGATTTCCTTTCGAATTGCCAGGATCTAAAACGTTCACTTATTCAACGTAAACGTCCACGGGGAATAATTGATGACGCCATAAAACGCGCCGACAAACTAAACCGAATGGACCTGCCCGACGCCGACCCCAAGGCGTTGGGTACATCCCAGGTTAACCTTGTGCTCTCCCATTCAACGTCAGCTCCAAATGTCACAGCAAGTTTGAAGCGACACCATAACATATTAACTCAAAGCAAGCGCCCTAAAAATGTAATAACAGAACCACCGAGAGTCGTCTACAGACGTGCACGTAACCTCCGTGACATTCTTTCATCGTCTAAGCTCGCTGCCCGTAAACCAAATGGCTGCGCTCCTTGTGAGAATTCGCAGTGCAAAATGTGTGCGCACATGGTAACTACGCAAACTGTCACCAGTTCATCCACTGGCTTTGTGTTAACAATCAGGGCCAATCCAAATTGTGACAGTTCCAGCGCAGTATACATGCTAGAATGCGATATCTGTAATCTTCAATATATTGGTCCTACGGAAACATCGTTTAGAACTCGATTTAGTAATCGTAAGTCGCACGTAAAAACCCTTCCAAATCTGCCTCTATCGAAACATCTAGCAATACCTGGTGATTGTTTCGACAAGATTAAAGCAACGGTACTGAAATCCGATTTTCGCTCATATCATAAGCGGGAAATGCGCGAATCGTTTCTAATCTACAAGTTCAGTACACTAAATTCTGGAATAAACGAACACGCAGGCACACTCACTAATCTGCCTCCCACCACTTGAGGCATCTCATGCCTTTCTGAGGTTTCTAGTTCATTTTCTGTTATTTTACTTCTTATTTTTGTTTTCGGCAGAACCACCCTTGTTCCCTGCTTAACAAACTCAGTTGACCTAGTCATCTTTAGTACGTATCGTTCGTTCATGCACTTCAATTTGCACGCATGGTTGTCATAATGCTTTCCACACCATGCGCCATTTATATTTAAAATCTCTTTCACTCGTACTGATGTCGCTATAATGATAAAAGCTGAACGCGGTGCCCATGTTACTTTACGCATTGCATCTTCACACTAAAGGTATTTAGCCTTTTTTTATAATCGTGTTTAATCACTTCCGATTGCTATTGCGCATGTCCTAAAACATTTTAGAAATGTATATAATGGCTACGAAAGCTGCATTACATGTCACACTGACGAAGGCTGGCCCACCAGCCAAATCGTATGTGATTATTAAAAGTGTTTCGTCGTACGTCGTGCTTTCTCGCTTCCGTTTGACAATGGAGCCAGTGCGCATCCTTCCTCGCTACGTGTATATATATATATATATATATATATATATATATATATATATATATATATATATATATTATAGGAGTTGAATCAGCTCAGTATTATTGTGATAAATATGAAATGAAGCTCGTCGTGATTTTGCCCAAACGGAAATGTTTTAATTAATCTTGAAAATTGTAAATGTGGTGACCATCCTTCACCACAAAGGTCGTAGAACATGTTCCGCAACGTGAATTATTTCATCTATTTTAACAAAGAATCCGCCAGATTGCATAACTAACGAAGATTGCTGAAATAGATTCAAAATTGTAACCATAGCAAAAAACCACCAAAAGAAAAAGCTGTAGTGCTTGTTCAGAAATTTATAAGGGTACTTGCTTGGGCGGGTTGGTAGCTACTCAATCTTACTTTACTGCGCACTGCTTAAAAGACGTGCACTTGCGATGAAGGACTATTTATTTTTATTTATTTACACTACCTACAGCGCCCGCGAGGGGCATTAGTGTAGGGGGGAGATAACGATTTCGAAATGCAGAAAGGTGACAGTCCATTAACACTGAGTTGAACATAAAAGAAATACAGATACATAATAAAGCATCCAATGGTGACACGTAATAAACATTGACGTTTGTGAAGGTACAGCAGCAAGGGAAAAAAAAGAAAAATATATATAAAATGCGTACGCACGCACACACACACACTCACACACACACACACACACACACATATATATATATATATATATATATATATATATATATATATATATATATATATATATATATATATATATATATATAGATAAAAGCAGGCGAAAAAAAAAAAGCTGAAGCGTAGATCGCTAGAGAGATGAAACGAAAGTGTAGGCAACTTTAATGTGTGCTCAGGCTACGATAAAATATGATGTTCCAGCGCAGTGGCGAATGTTTCCCTGGACGCGGCTACAATTTCATGAGGTAGTTTGTTCCATTTTTTAATTGATCGCGAAAAAAATGAATATTTAAAAAGGTTAATTCTGGTAGCGAACTCGCGCACTTGAAGGGGGGGAACAGTACGAGCAGATATATACGTAGGCTCCGATATGTAGTTTTCTCTGTGAATACCCGTTAAACCATGGAATATTTTGTGAAACAGAGATAAACGTAAGAATTAGCGCCTGTCTTCAAGAGGAGGCCATCCTAAAGTACTCCTGATTTCTAAAGATCTTTTAGAAGAGTTGTAATCACCCGATTAGACGGAATATTCAATCTGTTGGAACAAACGGAACCATTGGAGTATTCCATATATTGAGGCAAGTGCCCAGTTAAACATTCTTCCAGCCTATCTTGGAACTGTGTGGCATTTCATAAAAGTAAAAAAAAAATACTTTGTGCCCGTTAGCTGAAATGCGCTCGTATATTCATCTACTGATAACTTAGCAAGAACACGACTGGATTTTAAGACAAGGTGGCCCACAATGACACGTCTCTCCATAGGTTGAGAGTGTGCACGTGAGCAAGCACACTTCCTTGTTTCACTTATGAGCACACTCTTTATTGTTTACTTCCGGTAACACGCGCATTCAATAATAGCGAAAGTTGGGCTAGTTGGTGGTTCATACTTGGGAAGTAAAAACAGCGCACAAATAAAGACAAGGAGAGAGGAAGAGACGACACCGCGCTGAACTCGCAACTAAACTTTATTGAAAGATACATGCACATATACCAAGCATTCGATTTACATGGGACAAACCGGGCGGTGAATTAACGCGAGACGAAAAGAACATTTAACCTCTTTAAGGGCCGCTGGCGGGTTGTACCTGCCAGCTCATTGTAGAGAGTGTGGCTGCCAACCTTTGGCAGATAAAGCCACTTGCTTGTTTGGACATCGGGACAAGTGCACTAGGGAAGTGATGGAGGCCTTATTCATTGAAAAGGAGGGGGAAAGGTGTGTAAGCAAGCCGTCCGTGACCTTTGGAGAAAAAGAAGTCTGGTACCTGGGTTCAGCGTTGCCATGTTAAAGTGATTGTTAGTTTGTTAGGGACTGTTGCGTATGTTTTTGGCAAGTAGAAAGGTGTGTTTTTGTTGTTTTTTGGGTCGTTACACACCTTTTGATGTTCAATATGATTAGGCTTGTTTCGTGCCTTGTTTGCTTTGATGCGCAGACGCCTTTGGTTGTCCACGTGATCTGGTCGAATGCCTGATATATGTGCGTGTATCTTTCAATAAAGTTTAGCTACGAGTTCAGCGCGGTGTCATCTCTTCCTCTGTCCTTGTCTATATCTGTGCGCTGTTTTTACTTCCCAAGTGCGCATTCAGTTTTGAGTCTCGAATTTTGGTGGTTTCGCATCTGTATGCAACATATTTCTCTGCCAACACATTACAACATCACACTTGCATTAGGCCCCACAACAACACCGATCTCACCAGTGTGTGTCGAAATTCCTATCTGCGCCGTCTAGGGGCGAACATTTTGCTGTCAAGAGCTTTGCTCTGTCAAATGCGTGGCCACAGCTGTGCCCTCGACATCAGACACCTGTCCACTACACAGCGCAGACGGCAATATCGCCATGCCCAGCCGTGGTGTGT